CAGTGCCCAAGCAGAATTTCGCTTTTCAGTTTTTCACCCTTTTTGAGCCTTCTCGACATCTGGAATCCATATTTGGTTCAGCGCATGAAAATGGCAAAATGAGTTTTTTCCGAAGCTTTCCAGGTCCACATTCAGCAAAAGTACGTCGGAAGCCTTCCGCGCCCCTCCTCCCTCGTTCCAGGCCCCGCCCAGTTGCGCGTATTCTCTACCGAATGCGGAAATGAAAAGCTTCGGAAAAAGTTCATTTTCACCATTTTCATGCGCTGAGCCCAGATATGGGTTCCTTATGACGAGAAAGCTCCGACAAGGTGAAGATCTGGAAAACGAAATTCGGCCGAGACATCGCCTTCAATGGTATATGTAATACTAATAAGTGGAAAACTTTACGAAAGCAGCTGCGTTGAAACAAGGCATTAAAAACACGGACGTATCTTCGGAACAACCTAGCAGTTCCAACAAGAGCTCAGCTGACACGAATGGAAAGAGTTTGGAAAACGATCGAGAGCATAATGAATATAGAGATGGGAGAGCAGCCATCTCGCATCTCAGACAATCGGTGCCGTGGTCGCGCCACAGTCGAAATCTGGCAGAGCCGCGGCGGACCCAATTGAGCAATGAGAGCGGGGCCAGGGGGCGGTCCCTTCTTGTAGGCACGGTGATCACCGGCAGGCGAGTGGGACCCTTCTCCGGATCTGCTCCAAAGGTATGCCATTTTTGCTCCGGAGTTACGCCAGATTTGGACGAGCCGCGGAGCAGAAAATCGGAGTGGTCCGGGACAGAAAATGGGAGGGCTCCAGCACAGAAAATGGGAGGCCTTCGGCGCACAAAATGGGGGCGCACAAAATGGGAGGGCCCTGGAGCACAAAATGGCAGGGGTCCGGCGCACATATAATTACGCAGTCAGTTTGCTGTGATACGCAGCTTAGCATTTTCGAAAATATTAGGTTGGCACATAAGTAATGCAACTTTTTATATAACTTTTGTCTATTTGAACGTAGCGCATTCATTTTTTGGCAATATAAGGAATATGATGTAAGCTTCTAATGCACACATTCTTGCCGAATTTTACCATTTTGTGTGAGGATTACGGTAGGTTTACGGTACTACGGGAAAAATTTTAGAATGCATCAGATTTTGCTGAAACTTGGCCTATAGGGCTTATTTGACATGCTGATCACAAAAATGAAATCCGTTTCGCATGAAAAGGCCTCGTTCGTGAGATCAAAAGATGAATTTCATTTTAGCGACAAATGAATATGATATTCGTGCTTACCGCATAGGATTACCCTATAGTGCGAAGTTATAGCGAATTCTGACTTTTCGCAGCTTAGTTATTGACAAATTGCCTTCAAAACTTGACGCATTTGACTTGTTCAACTTCTCAAAGGCTCCCCACCTTAATTTGTGTTTAAATTTCATTTCTTTTTCACTGATTCCAATGTGCCAACTTCCAGCTACATGCTGCCTATAATTGCTTTTTCATATGTTTGAATCAGGTTTCGTAGAGCTTCATGTTTGCCAAAAAATCGCGAAACCTCGATTTTCAGCAGTTTTCAAAAAATGCTTAGATTTTTTGTACTACGTTATCAAAAATCAAACGGTTTGCGCAGACTTGCAGCTTACACCACGATCTACATGATGCCACACAATGAGATTGCTACATAAAATAGGAAAAAAGTTACGGGAAAAGTTGCAAAACTTATGTGCCAACCTAATAAGTTGCGTCGCTCTCGTCTTACCCTTTTTTTGTCGTTCTTTCGTGCTCGTCTTTCTTTTTTTTGGTTTTTCATGTTCCTCATCGGCGCGTTAGCGTTTATTTGTTCAACTCCTTCTTTTCAGGTTTCAGGTTTTAGGTTTTCGTGCGGATGCACTTAGTCACTTTTAGTATTTGGCTCTTCTCGACTTGCTGACAAGGGAATGGTCAGAAGTCGAAGTGGCCAAACCAAACAAGCTGTATACCATTCGATGCAGTATAAAACGCTGACTTCGAATCTGTCTTTCTTATCTGCTTCCCGCTTCTGTGGACGAAGCTACAAGCGGTTTTATTGAGAAAAAATCACACATAAAAACAGCGAAATTGAGCACATTGTTGCATTTTTAGCTCAGCTTCTTTCTTTAAAATTTTGAAGTAGGCTAGCTGCATGTTTTGGCCCAGAATTAAAATGAACGTGGCTCTGCGCGGCTAAATTTTCAATTTCACGCGTAATTTCTTAGCAAAATAATGGTCTTTAATGGCTTGTAGCTTCGTCCACAGAAGCGAGAAGCAGATAAGAAAGACAGATTCGAAGTCAGCGTTTTATACTGCATCGAATGGTATACAGATTGTTTGGTTTGGCCACTTCGACTTCTGACCATTCCCTTGTGAGACATCATTGACTATTGATGGAGTGGTTTTTGTGATTAATTCTGGATTTTCGAAACAAAAAGTATATAATCCGAGATTCGGCCTTGGTACCCTTATGTGGTGTCTCTTGAATTATTTCCGTGTTTCCGGGATTGATTGATGCAAGAATTATCCGTACACTGCTTGGCTCTGTCTCAGGGAATGTCTTATACGGTTAGTCTGTCGCATTCTTGCTAAATGCAGATCTATTATGCAAGCATGCAACTCTTTCACATTTTCCAGTATATCGTCTACTTACAGTTTACCTGTTAATGTGACAGGCGCTCAAGAAATTTTTTTTTTCGAGATTCCAAGTTCTCAGACTTTGCACAAAGTCATAATATGCAGGGAAAGTCTGTGTCCTTGTTTCTGATGATAGACAAGCCTTCAAATTTGCATTCCAGCGTGAGGGTCACTCTAGGAAAAAAGGTCCACAAAAATGTCCACGTACCCTCGCACCGCAAACCAAAGTTTACGTAGCGTAAGTGAAAGGAGAGATATCACAGTGAAGGTGAGTGGTACATTCTACGAAGTGCTCATTTTTGAGCTTGGATTTGTAAGGTGCAAAACCTCGACTCGATCTTTATGACGGATTTTCGATGTCACTTCGAAGTAGGAAACGTTGAGCGAGAAAACCTGCTGTCGGGACATTCGACGACAATGTGATATGAGGAAAATTGCAATTGTTTTGATTTTGCATCCAATTCTGTTTGTGCTTGTGATGAGATGCAGTTCGATCACTACGGGCTTGGTGTATCGGGAGGATCAGCTCCGGTCGAGTTCAACGTTGTGTGGTCCTCGAGCAATTCTTCCAGAAAACACACTCTGGATAACATTGGTGGAGTGGCCGTGGAGGTTAATCGGAATTTTTTTAGTGATAGGTGTCGTAATTTTTGGTTTTTCCAGGTTTATAAATGCGAAGCTCTTGCATCGGACTGTGGCCGATGTCTTACGCTGAATGCTGAAAAGTATGAATGTGGCTGGTGTGTTATAGACAACAGATGTGTCAGACCATTGGCATGCTTGGCAAGATGCTTGGCAAGGTACGTTTAGTTACTGGTTCACTAGTCTCATTACACATGGTCACTCCACCTGATAGTACTTTCTCGCTAGTAAAAGCGACAATTCCACAGGTGAATGCAGCAGCAGTAGACCTAACCTTCGTTTTTCCACCGACGGGTCCCTTTTTAGGACTGAAGTCTTCATTAGCTGGATTTGCACACAGCTGCGTGCTATTCAGCCAATCTTGTGGTGATCTTGCCTAGCATGCCATTGGTCTAACACATCTGTTGTCTATAACACAACAGTCACATTCATACTTTTCGGCATTCAGCGTAAGACATCGGCCACAGTCCGATGCAAAAGCTTCGCACTCATACCTTGAAAAACCAAAAATTACGACACCTAATACTAAAAAATTCCAATTAACCTCCACGGCCACTCCACCAATGTTTTCTGGAAGAATCGCTCGAGGACCACATAACGCTGAACTCAACCGGAGCTGTTCCTCCCGATAACAAAGCCCGTAGTGATCGAACTGCATCTCATCACATCTGGCACAAACAGAATTGGATGCAAATCAAAACAACTGCAATTTTCAGTAAATCGTTTTGCAGTCAATTTGAAATAAATGTTTCGTCTTGTCTTCATTCTTCTATTTTCTATCTGGGGTAGAGTACGGGGGTGAGGGTCGCGCTGAAGTCCTACCCGGGGGGGGGGGGTCGTATTCGGCTAATTTGGGTGGGGTTTAAAGACATAATTGGAATTTGGAGCTTATTTAGGCTTAGTTACAGTATGCCGCGGCAGACTTGCGGAGCACAAAATGGGGGAGGGGGGGGGGCTCCGGCGCACAAAATCGGGGGGCTCCGGCGTACGAGTGGCAGACCCCCCGCTGGGGAAACCCCGCGGCCCTACCATTTGTGCGCCGGAGGGGTCCGATCGACTGTCTGAGATATTTCAACATACTCGCGCGCTTGCGTATTTCAAAACAACTATTCCAGCAGCACACCTGTACCCTGAGTGTCATGCGCCCTAAGACTTCTGAGTCCTCTTGTCCTCATGTTAGCATTGTCACGTTTCTAAACGATAAGGCACGCTTCTACGACTGGCGTCTGTTCGAAAAGAACCTTACAGCCATACATGGAGCGGATCAATCTGCCGTCGCGCTTTTGTTTTGATCGGTATATCGGAAGATTATGTTACGCTGGATTGAAGTTGATGATGGTGTAAGGTTGTACAGATATGTAAACATTACTGCAAAGAAGGAAGATAAAGATGTTAACAGATGAAGATGTTAACATCGCAGTGCGATGTTATCAGATCTTTGATCTGTAATTTCGCTTACTCAAGAACAGAACTCGGATATAGTATGGTATAGGCGTTTCTTTGAAATGAGAAGTCTTCAGCATCTTTATTCACAAAGTTTAATGCAAAATTAGCAGTTGAGTCTGTCGCAAATTTATAGAGAAGTCTTATAAAGTAAAGTTACGGGCGAGTGCGATATCTTATCGCACCGCACCGACTATGTCCTTTTTATTCGCTTTTCATTCGCAGAAAACCCTTTTTCGAAAAGTCTTTTGTGGATATCAGTCCGGGTTTCATCACTTACAGATAGTACCTTTGAATGGTTCAAACGTGTTGCAGTGAGCATGTAAAAGTTGGTTGTAGAAAAAAATTGCTCTTGGCTGATAACATTTCTTTCTAGAGCTAGAACAATTACTGTGAAAATCCTCTATCAACTGCGAATACGTGTTCTTTCCCTTACCTTAGAAACATCGTTGATTATACATTTGCTGCACACTATTGAACTTATACGCTTTCTGTGATGTTGGGTTTGGTCCATGTATTGCTAAACTAACTGTCTAAAAAGAAAGCTAAAAACAAAAAGGCCATACCTGCCAAGTGACCATAAGATCATCACCCAAGAAAAGACCAAGTTTGAGTCTCCGAACAAGAGCACCAGTATTGAAATTGCGATATTTGTAGTAGGGCATGTCAATCACAATATACTTCGTATAGTTACTTAATTCATTTCTCACAGTTATAAGGTATGAAACTTGTAAGTATAGGTCGGTATGCTTTCCGCAAAGCAAACTGTGATTTACTTCTTCAATGAATAAAAACACTGAGTAAAACGCCTTGACTCTGTGTCCTTCCATCATAGCCTCCTTGAGACTAATGGACTTTTTTTTTGCTACCAATCTGCTTTATATAAATGCAAAGTTTAAATTTGGATGAATGTGTGGGCTAACTCTTTTTTATCACCTTTTTCCATCAAAATACCTGATAAAGTCGACGTTGCTTTGATACTGATTATAGACCAAATCAGTTTCGAGATTTTTGATAGGATCCACAAAGTGATTAATTCTGAATGGAATATTGTGTGAAAAAGAAATGCAAGTTGATGCATGCTTACAAGGAATGATGAATGCTCAAGAGAATATGTGGATTTTCATGCCGCACTACTTTTCTCATCGCTTCCGAAAAAGTAGGACACCAGTTTGACAAGGCAGGACATGCTAAATCGTCATTTAGGGCAGTACAATAATCTCTCACAAAACTGACCGCTTCTTGCAAAGAGTCGGAATGTGCGGTAGCGTCCTTTGAGAATGTCGTGAAGCAGTGGATACGCTCTTTGAGCTACTGAGTTTCCTATCAACATGATATTAGCAGTGCCGTTTCCTCTCTGAGATGACTCGGTTTTGCTTGAAAGGCAAGTTTTGCTCAATCATGTTTTTTTTTTTGAAAAGCCGGCTATATATGCTGATTTGCAACACATTATATATTAGGTAGTTCAAAAGTTCGTTAGCACTATTTTCCAAAAAATCGCAACTCACTGCCGTTTGCCTGGATTTGTCTGGGGCGAATTTTTGTAATAAAGTGATCATGTAGTTTCTAAAAAGAGCTTGAATGCATTCCATTGAGCACAGCTCACAGTTGAAATTGCAAAAAGAAAGTTACTTGTTTTGATAATCTCAAAAAAGGAAAAGCCAAAAACGTCATAAAAATACCGAAGCAAACATAAACACATCTATGATCTCGTCTTTTTAGCTAGGCAGAATTCTTGCTGAACGCATATTCCTATGAAAATTTTTGATTTTTTAGGAAAATGGTTTGCGTTTTACATGAATATCCTGCTCACGATCGGCTCGAATTCACTAACTAAAAAGGGATAATCATAAAACCTATATTTATGATTGTTTCGACTTTCGCTGTAATGTTCTTAGATGAGCATGCCCAACGATTGCAAAATTGCAGTAATTTTCTTCGTTTTCTTCTGACTTTCGGGATGTCTCATACTGAAAAGGTGCCCGTGTAATGAGCAAACTTTTCTCTTTCAAAGAAAAATACTTCCAGAAATTTTTGACCCCGCTTGAGAAATGTCAATTTTGAGTGATTTCTTTCCGTTGCTTCTAACTCTCAATTTTTCTCATGGCAGTTCATGGCAAAGGTACTTTTATAAAAAGCACGGTCTCCTCTTTCGAACAAAATTATTCTTATCACGTTGACGACGAGCCATTTTTTGACATATGTAAGAGAAACTTCAAATATCCACGAATTTTATCGTACTTAGAAGCTCTAATCGTGCACAAATGGAACCGAGGAAAAACCAATTGCTTCCTATGATCAACGATCATGCTTGGACTGTAGTGGAGGGAAAACCTATCATTAAAGACTCCAGAAAGACAAATATGTTAAACCAACAGATTTGATGACAATAATAGCTCATATCGCAGTGGAAGAGAGACCGAGAAAGTAACAGAACTTGTTTGGAGGTTGTAAGGACCCGCTTTGGATGAATCAGCAGCCACCTATATAAATTCCTCGTTGTTTAATTCCCTTCCTTTTATTAGGTTGTAAAGAAAGTTCTGCCAATAAACGTTGAGCTAAATTTTTTTTATTCATCATGAGTGGCTGTCATTCAGCGATTTGGTCATGTGTACTGATAACCTTTGACTGCTGGTACGTCGTAGATGCTCTTTTCCAAAAAGCACGCTGGCTGCGTTTTGAAACAGGTGGCAAATTCGATTTTTTGAGTTTTAAATTCAATGAGTTATTTCTTGCTTGCAAAAAGGCCCAGGTACCGGGCAAGTTAAAGTCGGTTAGCGCATGATCTAGCTAATGTACAGGGTATAAAACGGATTTTCAATTCAAGCTTTTGGAAGTTTTGCGCCTCCATATTCTGAAAAATGTTCCTTTTTGCAGACCTAAGCGCAACGGATTTTCCTCCTTTTTTGGGCATTTCTTCCTACTCAGACAATCGCCGGGGGCAGGGGCCACCGGAAAATACGCGTTGCTGAAATTTCGCATTCCGCTTGCAAATTCCAGGATAATGGTCAACGAGTTTTTGAGAGACCGTCTGTTAAATTTTTTTCGCTCTTATCTTTTGCAGATGTATTGCTGAATCTCTGAGGAGTCGAGAACTCAGCAGGCGGCCTTCCGAAAAGTCCTGATTGCTTTCCAAAAAATTCGCGAGCGGGGTGCAAGAAATCAGCCATCTATTTTTCCGGTGCCCGCCTGCCCCAGGCATTGTCTGAGTAGTCGATCGTCATTTTCTTCCAGATGAATAGCATACTGGATAGGTGGGGCCATCGCACACTAAGAACACATCTCACAAGGGAAGGATACTTGGTCGAAGTGGAGTTTTTATATGAAATGTATACTCTCTTATAGAGCATGGAACGCTGACTCCAAATCTGCTTTCTTTATCTGCAAGGCAGTTCTGGGAGCGAAGTTCTGAGAATTTTTTTTAGCAAAAACTTAATGGTTTGGCTAAGGTAAAAACAGGTATTGAGGTCTTTTCGACGCTTAAAGGAGTATTGATTGACAAGAGCATATTAGATTCAAGGTAGGTAGTTATCGCATAAAAGCTTTCGTAGTGATCATAGCCCCTTTCGAGCTCATGGCTGCAGTTTAAATGATTTTATGGTAGCCGCGCGTTGAATTTTTGCTCTAAGAATTTCCCATAACTTCGCTTCCAAAAGCGCTTTGCAGATATGGAAAGCAGATTCGGAATCAACGTCCTAAGCTCTATAAGACAGTATACATTTCATAATGAAATGCCACTTCGAACAAGTATCCTTCCCATGTCAGACCATCCCCTTGCATTCACGTTCATTTTTGGTAATTATGAAAAGAATTGGCAGAATTTTTTTACAACCTAATACTTCATCTCTGCCATTTTCCCATGGTTGTTGTATTATTAAAATGTCTCATAACATGTACTTTCCTTCGTAGTGATAAAAGGTTGTGAGAGTGGCGCACGAACAGCAACGATTTAAGATATGTCATCCAGAACAGCTTTTTAAGAGAACTCAAGGTTTCCGATAGGTCAAGGCTCGTACATTTTTGAGTACAGCAATAAGAAGAGGCAAAGTTACTCCGCCCTATGGACCAATCATTTTTCCAAGCCTTACAGGTCTGTCGCTGGGACGAGACTTTTCCGTGCATCCCACGCCTGACCGCATGTATGTGTGCATGCATCCATGCACGAAATATAAGATGTGCAAGCCCGTCCCGATGTGGCAAGCTCCGCCCCCGTATTTGCCAGAAGGGGCGGGGATAATACATAAAGTATATCTGAGCCTACGTTGATTAGAGCAGAAACTGAGAGGGTTGGACAGATAGCGTTGAAATTAAGGCCGCCGTGCAACATTGCGCGGCACTGTCGTGTTAAAAAATCTACCAAGAAAAAAAGAAGTCATTATTTTTCGAAAAACTGGCAAACGAAATTTTTAAATGACCTAATATATACCTACTACTTAATCCTACCTCATTTTTGATCAACACTCAACAATTTTGCATTTTTAGCGGTGTAGGGCACATGAAACTTTCCAAAGCGATAGCGAAATGAGACTGCTCAAAATTTCTTTACTTTTTTTGGTCTAGCAAATTTTGTAAGATAAAAATGGACAAAAAGTGATATTTGATGCTAGATTACTTTTCCTTTTCAGCTTATTATCAATGCTGCTCTTTTGAACGAGCTATAATGAAAGCCGGAATTTACAGCTACTCCTTTTTTTCTTGTTCAAATTTTGCTTATTTTCAAAACTTTACACCCACCAGTTGCAAGTTTTTCTCTCAACCTAATATTGCTAAATATTAGGTTGTCCCAAAAGTTCTGTCGCTATTTTAATCGGTTACCAAATCTAACTCATCTTTCGACTGTGAACTTTATCCCCTTATCTGATATTGCTGCATTTTTTCTCTGCTTTAATAGTCTTATGATGTTTTAGGAGAACAAGAAAAGCTCTTTGAAGGTAGCGTCCAGGCAAATCTGTACATATGGGGATCTCACATGGACAATATTTTTGGGACCCTAACTGAGACACTTCCCAACCGGCAGCCCAGATGGTGTTCTGACGGCTGAGATATTCCCTTCAAAACTGGACCCCAGAATTGTATTCGCATGCATTGCTAGCGCGACACATCAGTTTTGCGCAAGGAACACGCGCAACTGATGTATCGCGTTTGAATCCATGCGACTACGACCTTGGGGTCCAGTTTCGAGGAGAATATCTCAGCCGTTAGAGCAATACCTAACCTGCGGGTTGAGCAGTTAGTTAGAACCCCAAATTATTATCCACGTGAGATCCCATATGTCCAGGCTTGTCTGGATGCCTGGCTCTCAACACGGTTTTGAGCTATAGAGGACCCTATTTTTCCGCCGAAAGCAGGCGCAGCAAACTGAGAATTCCCACACTAGGCTAATCAAAGTTGCTGACTCTAAAGAGGTTTGCATTTTACTGTGGAGCTTCTTGCATTAGTTAAGCCTACTATGCCGTAACATGTGTATTTTCGATGTCCTTTAATAAGCCTAATAAACATGTAAAAAGTCTAGATAAAATGAGCATGCGTAAAATAAGGAAGGGAAGGTAGGACTCCAAGAAGTTGTAACTTTGAGCAGGCTCGTTCAAAGTCTGGAAATTGTGCCTATTTTAGAATCAACTTCATACATACCTTCGATAGTCTAAAGACAGTGCGTCAAAAAGAAGCTTGTTTGAATATCTGCTCTCATAAAAAATGAAAGTTGTTAACAGATTATCAGAGAAGAAAAAGAGATACAACAAATAGCAAAAGCAAAAGAAATTTTCAAAAAGGGTAATGTCGTAGATTATTTGTGAATCTACGACCTTTACCATTGTAGAGTCATATTGTATGCTATATCCAGTATCCACTAGCTTGTCGTTGACAGACATTACTGTTCACTGACCACTTAAGCCGCCAGGTCACCCCTTCACTGGGCTTGATAGTCTACTCGGCGGCGCCTACTTTCATGTAGGCAATCCTTGATTCTGTATGATACTGCTATTTGCCAGAAGTGAGCATTCAGGTTATCCACGCCCAAAATAGTGGCATAAAAGGGCCTGAATACTCAGTTCTGGTGTTGGTTCGATTAATACCACTATCTTCAGCGGCTGTTCCGCATATTCACTGTTAATAGTCAGCGGCTGCTCCGCTACTATCTAATAAACAGTTATAGCCGTTGTGGTACCAGCTTGGTGTATACCAAATTGGTGCATCGGCCAACGGATCGTCTCTTCGGTGCTGCTCACCGAAATTCGATAAAAGTCCCGCGTGGCAGGCTACTAACAGCCGATTATTCGACTCTCGTGATTGCTGGTTCATCCACTTTCGCGACCAAGAGTCTTACTAAGCTGTCAGGTCATATCCACAGCTTAGTAGAGGTTTCTAGCTAACTGACTGGTTCATCCAAAGTTAGCGACAGACTCCTCGCACTCTAGGCTACTAATTAGCCAATATTCGACTCTAGTAATTGTTGGTCTACTAATACGAGTCTTGCTAAGCTATCAGGTCCTATCCATAGCTTAGCAGAGGTTTTCTAACTAATTGACTGGTTCATTCACAGTTAGTAAAAGAACTCCTCGAATTTTTTGGCTTCCAACAGCCAAAAAAGACTCTGTGATTGCTGGTTCACCACTTTCACATACAAGAGTCAAATTGTTAAGCTAAGGTCCTATCCATAGCTTAGCAGAGAGGTTTCTAGCTGACTGACTGGTCCACCACAGTTAGCAAAAGAACTCCTCGAACACTTTTGGCTTCCCTAAAGTCAAAAAAGGACTCTGTGATTGCTGGTTCATCCACTTTCACATACAAGAGTCATCTTATTAAGCTGTCAGGTCCAATCCACAGCTTAGTAAAGAAGTCAAACTAGCTGCCTGGTCAATCCACAGTTAGCAGACGACCCACCCAAGCTCCTTGACGGTTGATCAACAACAGTCACATCAAAAGCTTGCTGCTAGCTATCAGGTCAATCCATAGCTCAGCAAAAGAAGCTACTTCAAGCTTTTTACCTGCATTCAGTCCATGCGAACAAGACAAACCATGTCGATGTTAGCTGGATTCAAGACGCGCATTTCAATGGCCTGCTCTTCGGTCAACAGCCTCGAAAGCAAGATCCTGAGTATAGACAAGGCATTTGAATTCCCTACTACATCGACTCAATGCCCTCATAGCCGACAAAATGGCAGAAATTGACGAAATACAGATTTCTCTCACGGGTCTGCTAGAAAACCTGGAAGTCCACGTACAAAATGCTATAAACTTCATCGGCGCCAGGAAAGACCAATCAGAGGGTGAAAAGTTGATGAATGAGCTGGACACCTTCTTAAGGCCTGAGGCCAATCGCGTACAATTAGAAGCAATCCACTGGACAAACAAGTTGAAGTACCGAATGAGAGAGCTCGAGAAGCAATCGAGTTTGAT